AAGGTATCAAATGGAAAGATACATATAGACCTATATGTGTCAGAAGACATCTTGCCCAAAGTCTGAACAAAATAATTATTTACTCCTTGAATGTTCCTCTCCCTAACCTGCATGATACTGCATTATACCCTGAGTTTGGAATATTGCAAAGTCTCCTCATTAATAATTACACATACTGGTCTAATGATATATATAAACCATGCTATAAGATGCAGCTACATGGGCATTCCCTCAACTTAGTTCATCAACATATATCTAAGACAAGTATTATAGATATCAGGCAGGCAACAAGCATTCATTAAGTGCTTACAATGTGCCAAGAACTGTGCTAAGTACCAGAGATACAAATACAAACTAAAAGAGACAGTCCCTGCCTTCACAGAGCTTACATTCTAATGGGGGAAGACCAACACATAAAAGGGAGCTGGAAGGGAGAGGGGCATGATGGCAAAATCTGTAGAGACAGCAGTACGTGAAGAAGAAAATAAAGAATGGCTGGTCTAGGACAATCTCCAAAATGGAAGCCCCAAAAAGAACTCACCAGTGGGACGAGGGGGCCAGCATGGCAAAGGTATATTGTATGAAATAAAAGCACTCTGGCACTGAGGGAAATGCCAGAATGAAAGGGCAGGTAAGTCATAGTCAATGAACTGAGATTAAGCTACATTACATTTGAAATACAATGTTTCAAAAGATAACAAACTATTAGCTCCAGTAAAATCTCAAAAAGCAGCAGGTAATTATTAACTCCAACGTTTACATGGTTGTGAATCATGAAATGTGACAATCACAGGATTAAAACTATAAAGGAGCTAAAAAGCAATGTCGAGAGGCATGGTTGGCATAAACATAGTGCTTCATGTTACCAGTGACCACCTACACACAAGAAGTAATGGAAAAGACATTAATAAGCAAGTGTAAGAAGAGAAAAAGAGATGAGCAAGTTACGTGTCAAGAATGAGAGACAACAGATGGATAGCCCAGTTGGTTCACTGGTTTGCCTGAAACATCAAAAGAATAAGAGGAATGTATCCAGCTTGTTGAGCAGATCTTCTATTCAGGATTTATGGGAAAAATACAGATATACACAGAATGAAATGGCATAGTGGAGTTGTATAAGCACCAGTGGAGGAAGTACCAATTCAGATTACTCATCATGGATCCACCAAAATACAAGATACCAACTAGGTTTACCTACATCTCATCAAACCATTTATGTTTCTCACTTACAGAACTACATAGTTCAATTCCAGAATGATGGTAGGCATTTTTTTGTTGTTGTTGTTGTTGTTGTTTTTTACAAATTTTGAACGAAAGGAAATATGCAGGGGCAGCTAGGTGGTGCAGTGGATAGTGTACCAACCCTGAAGTCAGGAAGACCTGAGTTCAAATCCAGCCTCAGACCAAACACTTGACACTTACTAGCTGTGTGACTCTGGGCAAGTCACTTAACCCCAATTGCCTAAAAAAAAAAAAAGGAAATATGCTTAGTATGCTATTAATGAAAAAATGACATTTTAGTTCATGTGCAAAAATTGGTTAATGATTAACAGGTTATTGTAAACATCATTGTTATTGTTTAACATTAATTATAATTAAACTTATATCTATAATATCTACGATATTATTAATATTAATAACAGTTAATGGTTAACAGTAAAAGGAAGTTAATAATAACTGTTATCTTTTTTAAAAAATACCACTATGTACATGCTATTGAATTACCCTGTATAATTGGATTTGTTCTTTTAAACTGTCTTTTGACTTAGCATAAAGACTAGCTGTGAATTGCTAATATCTACAGGTGCTTTCAGAAATTACAAAAAAAAAAATGGCCTGTTTTATTCTTTACAATGTCATCTTTTCCTAATCTTCATTTCTTTCAAATATTGTCTAAGTTTGTAAGATGAATGCCATGTTTAATGCATGTTTTATGGCATATCAAGTGGACCCAGATTATATGGTATATATTTTGCTTCCTTTCCACCAACTGGGTTTGCATAACCCTATTATTAACTAGAGAAGGTTCCCAGTGGTTTCAGACATTCCATAGTTAGCATGTACGATAATATGCTTTTCTTATTATGTGACAATCTAGATTTACCAAAAGAGTCAAGATTCTTGACAAGAAATTACAAAATTGGGAAAGGTTTTAGACCAAACTTAAAAATGCAAAACGTGTTCTTGAACATGATACTTTCTTATGCCACATATGGCTAAACTACTTGAAAACATTCATCATGAACTCCTACTTATGGTATCATAAAATCCTTGAACCTAAAATAGTGTATTTGAAATAGTGTATTTAAAAACACATGGTTTCTAAAGGCCCTGACTAGAAGGGATAATATTTTCAGAAAGCAATTCAGGCAGAAATAATTAAATATGGCCTTTTTGATTTGACATTAAATTCTCTCTATATAAAAGGTTCATCCATCACTATTCACATCTCATATAGTCACTATTTTTCAGGGGTGCAGTAGAATTTCTATGAGCGCTGGGTAGTTTCTCAAACATGTCTATATAAAAGTAGTGTACAGCTATTTTAAAGCTTAGAGTATGCAGCACCCTGGCACACAAACTATAGGGCAATAGAAGATATGTTTTGAGTGTACTGATCTTAATAATCAAACCAATGCCTGGACACAAATACCAATAGTTTCTTTCCCTTCTGCACCTAAGTCCAACACAGCTGGCAGCCCTCTTGTTTTCCATTTCAGCAAATGGATATTTCGGCAGAAAACAATCTTCACTCCCCCAGCACAGAAGAACCATTCTCCAACTAAGCAGGTAAGGCATTCTCTCTCCTTCCACTGTTCCAGAGGCACAGGACTCATATTTTCCTCAAATTCATCTCTCTTCCAAAATCCCCCATTTCTTTTAATGACTCTACTATCTTTCCAGGAACCTAATGACAAACTTGGAAACATCTTTTATTCTTCTGTCTCCCTCAATTCCTAGAGCCAATCAGTTTCTGGGTCTTGTCTCTCCTACCTCTCATTTATCAGCCCCTTAGCTCCACTCACCTAAACTCCAGCCTGGCCCAAAAGCTCATTACCTCATGCCTGGTTTCCCTTTATCTAGTCTCTTTCCCACCCCCCTCCCCATGTCTAGGCATGAGGTAATGAGGGTTTCAGCCACGCTGCAGTTTAAATGAGTAGAGCTAAGGTATTGCCAAGTTAATAGTCTTAAAACCTAGATCTAACATGTCACCATACTATTCAACAATCTTTAATGGATCTCTGTTTCCTGTAGGATAAAATATAACTCCTCAGCCTGGCATTTAAAGTGCCCCCCCATCCTGGCTCCCACCTACCAGTCTTTTTCCCCCCATATTACCCCACTTCAGGTGTTCTGCATAAGAATGAAATGGATACTTGGGATCCCCAAACACTCCCTCAGCCCCAGCCCCAGCTCCCACCTTACTTCTCCCATCTTGGGAAAACTCAGTCTCCAAGTTTTCCCAAGATACACAGCAATGAATTAGAGACAATTTACATTTGGCGTTTAAGGGAGATGAAAATGTTTGTAATTACTTAGAAGGAAACCTGACAGCAACTGATTTACAAATATTTAAGTTCCGTCATGTCTGACTCTTCATGACCCCATTTGGGATTTTCTTGGCAAAGATGCTGTAGTAGCAGTTTACCTTTTCCTTTTCCAACTCATTTTATAGATGAGGAAATTGAGACAAACAGGGTTCAGTGACTTGCCTAGAGTCACACAGCTATTAAGTGTCCAAGGCCACTTTTAAACTAGGAAGATGTGTCTTTCTGACTCCAGGCCTGGTACTCTATCCACTGTACCACCTACGTGCCCTACAGACATTATGCCACATTATATTTGGTCCTCTGGGTGGATTTTTCAAGAAGTAAATTTATCATTTTAGATAAAACGTGAATTCACTGGTATAGGGAACTTTCTGAATGAGAAAACTCCCTCTAACAAGGAAGATCAGTATATTTTCTGAAATGTAAATTCTAAGACAGTTGCTTAGATCAGAATGTCAAATTCAAATAAAAACTGAGAGCCACTAAGCCATACATAAAGTCCTTGCTGGTCACACATTGACTTAGATTTAAAATGCAGTGTTATCTATGTTTAATTGTATTTTATTTCATTAAATATTTCCAATTACATTTTAATCTGCTTTGGGCTGTACTAGGGAGCTTTGCTGCCCCAGGTGTATTTGACACCTCTGGCCTAGAGCCCTGAAGAGGTTAAGTGACTTGTCCAGGGCCACACAACATGTATCAGAGGCAGAACATGAATGGTGGTCTCCTAATTTCCAGACAGGAAAGGAAACAGGCATTTAATAAGCACCTACTGTGTGCCAGGTACCCTGATGAGTGCTTCACAATATGTCACTTCCAGGACAATTCTCAGTCCATTCCACCATGCTGATGGTCAGTTTGGCCCAAAGCAGTCTCTTAACGACTGCAGAATAGGTGTTTTAATAATGGCTAACATTTATTTATATAGTGCTTTCTCTGTGCCAGGTGCTTTACAAATATCTCATTTGAGCCTCACAGCAACCCTGGGAGACAGCTATTATCACTATCCTCATTTTACAGATGAGGAAATTGAGGCAGATAAAGTGACTTGTGAGAGCTTATACAGTTAGTACGTGTCTGGGGCTGAATTTGAATTCGGATTTTCATGACTCCAGGGTCAGTGCTGTAGCCACTGCGCCACTAACTAGTTCAAATTGGGAAAACTCCCAACATCTCCTCTTCATTTTTCTGCCTCTTCTTTCCCGCGTTCCAGAACCACGTGACCCGCCCCTGCATGGAGGGGGCGGGGGGTGGAGGACGTCGAGGAGGCACCCACCCACTTTCAGAGTATGCCCAGCGCGCAGGCGCCGCTAACGCCCCGCCCCGAGCCCGCCAGCGCCTTCCCCTTGGCTCAGCGGGAGAGAGGCTGCCGCGCCAAGCGTCTGACGTCACCGCGACAACGTCCGGCGACGCCGCGTCGAGGCGGATGACGCACCTTCGGAGCTGTAGTCTCTTCCTCTGCGCCTTATCCGCCCCAGCCCGAACTGGCTCAAGTGGTACCGGGTCCGAGGGCCCCGGGCCGAGCGTCTGTGCCGATCACGGCCTGTATGAGGGGACTTAGGGATTCGGGGCCGGGAGCTATGTGGTAGGACGGCTGCGGCGGAGGCCTGAGCTCCTGGAGATCAGGTGACTCTGATGCTTTTCCTGTTTGTCTGCCGCGGCGGGCGGGCGGGCTGGCCCGTTGCTATGGCGCCGCGGGCCGCGTTCCTGGCGGGCGGCCCTGGCGGCTCCGGCGCCCTCTTGGCCCAGGGTAGACGGTGGAGAAAATCCCTCTGCCTTGGCGGGGTCTGGGAATCGCTAGACCTTTCTCGTGACTCGGCTTAATGTCTTGCCCCTCTTGTTCTTTTCCTAACCTGCCCCCTACATCTCCTCCCCCTCTCCCGCTCTTCCTCCTCTTAGGACCAGGGGTGACCTGATACCTCACAGCTGGAACCGGACTCAGGCTGGCAACTTGGAGAGCCGGCTTTTAATCCTCTTGTTAGCAGAGCTGCGCTGGCCGCAGGATGGTGGAGAAGACAGTGCAGGCTGGAAGGCTGACCCTGCAGGGGCTTAGGCCGTTGGATATCGGTAGTCCAGCCCCCTCGTTTTACGGAGGTGGAAACTGAGGCCCCGACGAAAGACTCAGTCTCCCGACTCCGTGGCCTTTCGCTGGCCGTTCCCTCCGTGCATGGTGTGCTCTTTCCCTGGAGCTTCTTTGAAGCCCTGACTTCCTGCAAGAACCTTCCCCACTGCTAGGGCCTTCTCTCTGAGATTACCTTCCATTTGCATTGTAGACTTCTTCTGTGTATATACTTGTTTGTTTATTGCCTCCTCCATTACAAAGTGAGCTCTTTGAAGGTTGCGACTCCTTTTGCCTTTCTTTGTGTCCCCACTGCTTAGCAAAGTGCCTGGCAAATATGTTATGTTCACTCCTTTACTACTCTTCAGACCCCATGGATCTCTGTGGGGTTTTGTTGGCAAAGATACTGGAGTGGTTTGCCGTTCTCTTCTCCAGGTTATTGCACAGATGGGGAAACTGAGGCATACAGGGTAAAGTAAGTGATTTGGCCAGGGTCTCTCTCTCTCTCACACACACACACACACACACACACACACACACACACACACACACCCTCCCCCTCTCCCTCTCCCCCTTCTTCCCCCTCCCCCCCCTCCTCTCCACACGCAGACATTTTCAGAGTTGTTTAGATAAATAAATATATCTGTCTAATAAATATATAAATATCTGTCCACTTTGCCATCCACACATACTGACATTTTCAGAGTTGTTTAGGTAGATAAATATATCTATATAATAAATATATAAGTATATCTACATAATAAATATGTCTATCTGTATCTAAATATTTTGGTACTTACTATGTGCCAAGCACTATGCTAACAGCTGAAGATATAAATATAATCAAGTTCCCATTGCTGTCGTTTGTTTGACAGGATTTTGTTAACATTTTTTTTTACTCGATATTCATTAATGATATTCACCTATAGTTTTCTTTCTGTGTTTTTTCTTTTCTTGTTTAGGTATTGGGACTATATTTGTCTCAAAAGAATTCTGGTAGGATGCTTTTTCCCTCAGTTTTTGAGAATAATTTGTGAAGTAAGGGTACTAATTATTTAAAAGTTTGATAGGAATGGATTCATCAGGACCAGAGTTTTTTTTTTTTTCCTCTTTTGTAATTCTTTTATAGTTAGATATATTGCCCTTTCTGAGATGGGGTCATTTAAGATCTTTTAACTGGTGTTCTAGAAATTTGGGTATTTTATATATTTTTTAAATACTCTATTTCATGTTCTCAGTTTTGTTAGCACATGGCTACATAATATGTTTTTTCATCTTGCTCATTTGCTATTTTATTGATTTGATTTTCTGCTAAAGCTGTATCAATTTTATTAGTCTTTTAAAAAAGCAAGCTTTTGGTTTTATTGTTAATGCGACATTTTGGTTTCTAGTTTAACATTTCTGATTTTTAATATCTCCTTTTGTGCTTATTTTAGGATAGTTTGTTTTTCTAACTTAAAAAAATGCATATTTAGTTCATTAACTCTCTTTTTATATTTTGTTAATGTGTGTTTGTAGGGATATGATCCCCCTTTTCCCCCCGGTTACTTTAGCTTCAACCTAGAAATTTGGGTATGTTGTTTCAGTATTATCATTTTCTTTCACATAATTATTAGTTTCAATGATTTATTCCTTGACCCATTCATTAAGTCTCCATTTGGATCTGAGTCTTTTGTTTGTGGTTCCTGAACCAATGGCAATTTTTATCGAGATATGTTCTATAAGGGATATAGTTACTATTTCTGCCTTTTAGCATTTGTTTACAAAATCTTTGTTCCTAGTTACGTGATCAGTTTTTGTAAAAGTTACATGTGATGCTGCAAAATACCTACATTCTTTTATATTCCCATTTAGAAGCTGCTTTAGTTTCTCTCACAACTAATTCAGTTATTTGTTTGCCTTTTTTGCTTATCTTCCTGATAAATTTAACCAAAAAATCGAGAGGGGGGTTCAATACCCCCCCTCTCCTGTCTACATCTTGTAAGTCAGTTAATGTTTCCTTTATGAATTAGAGTTCTAAGGCATTTCGAATGTATAAGTTTATTACTGATATTGGTTTGTTGTTTCTAGTGCCTTTCAGCATAATGTAATTTCTTTGTTCCTTTTTATTTTTTGAATGTTTTTGCTTTGTCAGATAGCATAATTTTAACTTCTGCTTTTTAGGATTCACATTTAAAATTGTGAGTTAGATTCATATATTCCTCCATTTGTCTCAAATATTGAGTATTTTCACCTTACAATTTTTTTTATCCCTCTTCCTCTGTAAACATAATACAATCTCCAGTTACTTTAGCTGACTTTCTTTTAAGGTAACCCAGTTTCTGTTATCTCACTCTTACACTTCTTCCCCCCACCCCCATTTGTTACCCTTTTCTTCTTGGAATTTTGCTTATTCATTCCTTTATCTTTCCTGCTTTTATATAGTTATTTGATTCTTCCCCTCTTTTTTCCCTTGCCTTTCAAGTAGATCCCACTTCTCTCTTCTCCTTCATTCGACTAACTAGTCTTCATTAGTTTAAAAAAAATTTTTTTTCTCACCTTATTCTAGAAAGGATTTCTCTCACCTCTTCATTATCCATACTCTCTTTCTACTCTAGATCCACATTCTCTGGTTCATAACCCGTATAGTTATTCTTCTCAGAATCAAAATTTCCCAGGTACCCATTCTGGGCTTTTCCCTCTGGGTAGTTTCTATAACTTTCTCCTTTGTGCCTCACTCCCTGAACAGTTCCAGTTTCTGCAGGTAACAGGGAGAATACTGTGCCTTGGTTGGATACTCTCTACCCCCACTTTGCTCCCCCATTTGCCTCAAAATCTCCCTATGTCTGTATCCTCCCACTTCCTTAGTTGCCTGTTGTCCCGAGGAAGTTTTAGCCCTTCCTGTCTCCTCCCCAGGTAGGAGGTTTTTTTTACCCCCAAATACCTCAGACCATATCCAGCACAAGGTCCCTATCTCCCTTCATAGAACACTTCTGTGATAATTGTTAACTTTGTTATTATCATAATTATTATATGATGTTACGGATATTGTGTGAGATAATGATAGGACTTTGATATGGAATCACTTAGACTAAATGGTCCTAATGCCCATAGAAGCATATAGGAAAAATAGCTGTATTTTCCCACTATATTTAGTTCTGTATCAGGTGGATAAGGCTTGTACCTTTTTGGTTGTATGAACTCAATCTGCTGTAGGGACCTTGAGTCATTCTCCTAGAGCATAAGTGGAACCTGGCAACACACTTACCTATAGGCAGCTCAATGTTTTTTGTGGGCTTGCATTATGAAATGGAAGGTTGTATGAAATGGTGAGGGGAGAAAGGAGGTAGAGGAGAGTGTGATGTGTTAATGTTAGTTATCTTCAGTTAGCATTAGACCCTTTCACCAGTTTGTCCTGATAAAGAAACTGTCCCCAATCCGAACTTCACCCAAGCCTGGTGTCCATGAGGAACCCCAAGAACGTTTCTGCCACATGTGGCTCTGATTAGGAATGCCCCTCCTACCTGCTCTCAACCCAGCCCATTTTGAGGTATATAACCTTGCCATCTGAAGCCCAACTTTGTGTATGTTCCGTCCTCAACACATCTCCTTCACCCTCTCACTGGGTTGAGTTTCTTGCACGTGGAGACAGACCTCTGTCTCTTTATATCGCCATAGTGTGTATATGTGCTTTGTCAACTTGCTGCATGACATAACAGTAAACCCTATGATTGTATCATTTCCCTAAGTACTAATTTTCTGGAAATTCTGAACCCAGGTATTTGCTTTAACCTGAACCTTGGGTCAAATAAACCAACCTCTCTTCAGCCAGAGGAACATTCATCAGTGGAACCCTGTCCCACCCACAAAACAAAGCCTCCCTTTTTTTTTTTCCTGTCCCCTATTTAATCTTCCCACCCTCCTCCTCACCTACTCTGCAGGCCCTTTTCTTCCTGAGAACCCAGAGAAGTCACCTTACCTTCACTGAACCCAGACACATCACACTCTCCTCTATCTCATTTCTCCTCTCACCGTTTTATACAACCTTCCATTTCATAATGTAGGCCCATAAAAAAACATTGAGTCACCTGTAGGTAGTGTGTTGCAGATTCTGTTTATACTCCAGGCCTCTGACTTCCCCTTTCACAACTGTTTCCTAGTATACATTTAGAAAGAATACTTACTGGTCTTTCTGCTCTGTCAGAAGCAAATAATCTCTTCAGGTCTGATTTTCTTTCTAAGAATGTTTCAAATACCTCTTTATTATTGAACATCCATCTTTTTTCACTTATGGCTGAACTCAGATTTGCAGGGCAGGTCACCCTGGGCTGCATCCTGTGCTCCATTGCTTTTGGGAATACTTTCCCAATACCTTGTTCTATTCAACTTTCCCTGCCTCAGTATTTGAAGAGGTTTCTCCTGGTTACTTGGAGGGAATTTGTTTCTGAATTAAATTGCTAAATTTAGCCACTATATTTCTTAAAGTTTGTAGCCTTGTTTTTTTTTGATCAACCTGTGAATTCTTTTAATTAGTATTCTGTGTTCAGAAGTTCTGGGCAATTTTCTTGTATTATTTCTGGTATTATGTATGGTGTTCAGGTTTTTTGGCTTGTCTTGTTTTTCTGGGAGGCCAGTAATTCTTAGTTTGTCTCTACATGTCATGTCTTCTAAATCAGTATGTTTTCTTAGCATATTTTCTTTTAATGTTATTGTTTTTGCTTCTCTTCTTCTAGATTTTCCTTTACTTCTGTGTATTTGCATTCCAAATGCATCATTGTCTCTCTTGTTTCTTTGATGAAGCTTGGCATCACAGATTCAAGTTTTTGTTATGCCAATTATTTCTCCTGTGCACACCATGAATTTTGCTCTCCTAATTCTCCTTTTTCTTTTAAACTGCCCAATAAAAATGTGTTGTTGCCAGCTAGGTAGTGTAGTGGCTAGAGTGCTGGGCTTGAAGTCAGGGAGAAGTTGAGTTAAAATCTAGCCTCAGACACTTAGTGACTGTGTGATCCTGGGTAGTCACTTAACCTCTATTTGCCTTAGTTTTTTCAATTGTAAAATAGGGATAATAATAGCACCTACTGCCCAGGGTTGTTATGAGAATCAAATGAGGGATTTGTAAGTGTTTTAGCACATTTCCTGGCACATAATAGGTGCAAAATGTATATTTACTCCCTTCTCTTATTTCTTATGGCTCTGCTACTTTGGTGTCTTACTAGTGTTAATAGATTTTTCTAGTGTCTAAAATATTTTTTTCTTAATTTCAGGAGCAACCATTAAGAAAGGAAGAATGCAGAAATCTGAGAGTCATGGAAGCCTTCAGATGAGAAACAGAGTGACAGGTACATTCTTTATATCAAACTGAAGAGGTAGTCAAACAATTTGGTACATTTTCTAATGATATAGTTTTTAATATACATAAGGGTGCAGAAGGTGAATCTTATTTTACCCTGGATATTTTTTTTTCCAACATATAGGGACCTATGAACAAAGAACACCATCAGGTTCCAAAGTACAACATAGATCTGTGGTACACCAAAACAAGTCATTACCTTCCAGCAATTCTCCAGATCTTGTAAGGAAACCTCACCCTCGGCCAAGTGATAAACTTAATCCTAAAACTATTGACCCGGTAAGTAAAAGGAATAGTTTAAAATGAACATATTATTCACTTTACCATGTTAAAAAGGATACATTTGATTATGATATTGTTATTCCTTTGATATCTTGAATTTCTTCACCCCCAATTTTAAGGAGAATACAATGAATAGGTGTGGTAGTAAAGAGGAAGAAGAGCTCAGAGTACATCTCAACATTTTATTGATTATGTATTTTGTAAATCATCTATTTCAATCCCCTACTGGATGCATGAATCTTTTCTATAATATATGTAATCAGTTGTCATCCAAGTCTTAGCTTGAACAGTTTTAATTGTTTGAAAGTTCTTCCTTATAGTAAGCAGAAATTTATCTCCCTTTAACTTCTCAGAAATGCTGTTACTAAAAGTCATGGAACCACTGCAGTTTTGGAAAAATGCAAATTACTCTTGCCACATGACTAGCCCACTTTTTTTTCTGGTCATAAATCTACCTAATGACATTTTTTAATGTCATTTCTCTTGCAATTCTTGGTTGGTAATGTTTTGCATATGTACCCAATGTGCCCTTTTTCATTGCCCTTTGGTTATTCCTCGAGATTGTGGTAGTTCATTATTTATAGCCATTAAGCATCACAAGAAGAAGAGAGATATTTGAGACATAAATCTTAGTTTCAGACTGAAGTTTAAGGTCATTAAAGTATTGCAATTTACAGGTCAGTTTCATATTCAGTTCTTTATTGAGTTCATTATCACTTTATATAATGGTTGAGCAACTCTTTGGGTTATGTATCCAATTGAATATCACAGTACAAACTACTGGCATGTGTTATTTATTTAGTTTTTCTATTCTGTATACTTGGGTCAGTTTCTTGAGCAATTATGAGTATGATTTTGGTAGCCATATAGCATTTTGAAGTTTGATGAAATCAGCATAAATATCATCTGCAGACGGTAGCATCTGATGGACCTTACCACTTGTCTGTTCAACTTCAGCCTCCCTGACAGGGGCAAGAACTCATCTCCCCTTTTTTGGCTGGCATAATAATCAGAGTCATACAAAAAAATATATCCATAGTTACGTCTCCCCAATATATTTTATAATTTGATGAGATTAGAGATGGGGAAGCAGGCATATGACTTGATTTTAATTTCAACATATCCAAAACTAAATTCATCATTGTACTCTCAAAGCATTACCTAGAGCCTCCCAAACTTCCCTCTAAACCAATGTTCTCTTTTGATTACATATTTCTCCACTTAGAATGAAGATCATGTGGTTTGTTGGCCAAAGTGAGTTTTTTTCTTTTTTTTTTTTAATTTTTTTTGTGGAACGCAGTTCTTTTGTCATTTTTGTTTTGGCAGTTAGTTTACATTAGTTAAATATCTCAACAAAATGGTGATGTTTAAGTGTTTTTTTGTTCTTTTTTTTTAACCTGTTTTCCATTTTTATTAACAAGGTGCTATTTAAATCAGTCAGGTGATAATTTTATTTTTATTGTATTTTTAGTTTGATTTTGATTTGATTTTTGCTCTGATAATTTGATGGTTGGACTATACATAGTTGATTCTGAAATGTCTCTCACATAGTAAATAGTTGTTTCTCGTTTGTTAAAATATCATTTTAATTATTTATAATAGTATTGGTGTTCTCCATATCCAGTAGTTCTTGAATCTCTTCTCTAAGAAAGTATTTATGATATATAGCCATGAAATTTTTCTGTGATTTATAGGCTTTTGGCCATTCTTATTCCTAGTCCTGAATCACATTTTCATGTGTGTGTCATTTTCTCCACCTTTGCCTTAATTTTCACAAGGTCTTAAAATAAATGTTGATCTAATTTGGAGAGTCTTTAGCTAGCATTTCTCTATGTCGTCTGCAGGAGATGTTGGTATATAAGCTGCAATTATTTTCATTGCGTTTTTTTAGACAAGCTTATGATACAGAATGTTTGTATTCTATGAAATGTTTATTTTTTCCCCCTCTTTTGTACAGTAAAAAGAATTCCAATTCCTTTATTTACTCCTCCTAGGAGAACCTGTGAATCATCCTTCCATTTAACTTATAACTTCTACAGTGTCAGGCCTGATTGTAGTTTTTTGTGTGTTTACTTTCTGGTCACAGCCAATAATCTCACATTTTCTAACAGGATGTGTAGGTATTCTATAAGTTGTAATTATTATCACTCTGGGCCTCTTTTTACACCACCCTACCAAACTGTCAAATGTAGTGGGAAGCCATACAGGACCCAGCAATTTTTTGCATTTTTCTTTGTTTTATGTGTTGCTAAAGAATTTGGTATCAAGTGACCTGCCTCCTGCTAATGAGCCTCTGTGTTTAGGCTGGTTTTCAGAAAGCAGATATATTCTGGTTTTGGCTCTGTATAGAAAAGAAAATGTTGTTTGTGTGAATTCTCTCAAACTCTGTCTTGTTTGGAAATTTAAAAAATGAATTTTTTTTTCACCCTCTTTGTGACCAGAAAGCTTCATTTACTACTTGTGTGGCTTAGTGACAAGAGTTTTTGTAAGCATGTATATTTACACTGCATCATACCTAGTTCACCTGAAGTGTAGACTTCTCACTAATTCATAACATGATTGAAGTGATGGAAAACTACAATATAAATTTTTTTTGACAAATATAAAACCAGTAAAGATTTTATACACACACACACACACACACACATACATACATACATACACACATATACATACATATATATTTTTTTAAAACCAGTATTGTAACTCCAAAGTCTGATCTTTTCCCTGTCCCTATATGTAATCTCTTACTACCTTAGAGGTTGGGCCTTCCTTATATATTATGAAGACATAGTAGCATGATGCTTATATGCAAACTCTTGATATACACAAAAAAATTAACATTTTTTTTCTTATTTAATTTAATTTCAGTTTAGTGATCAGCCACGCGCCCCTTCTGCTTTTGCTGCTATTTACTCCAAAGGAGGTATTCCTTGCAGGTAAAATCAATTAGTGATGTAATAGATCATATTCCTGTAATAACTTTAATCAAATTAAATAGTTTTTACAGGTTAAGTATGTTAAGAATATCAATTGCCTTTGGGACTTAATGTCATCTTGGAGTCTCTATTGGAGTATCCTAGTTACCTGTGCTTTACCATATACTATTTAACTGGTTTTTTTTTCAATGACTTTGACAAAGACATAATTGTTTCATTCTTATCCAATTTGCAGATCTTATGCTTGTTAGATGACATATTCAGAATCCTAAAAGGAGCAGGATATGCTAAAACTTTGGGCTGTATCTAATCCAGTGACATTTAACAAGAGTCAGTGTGGAGTCTTATACTTGAATTTTTTAAAAGATGAACTTTATGTTTGGGATGTATGGCTAGACAACTATATATATATCTCTAGAAGTGATCTGTGGATTTTAGTGGGATTACAAGTTTTGGTAAGAGTTGACAGGATATGACAATAAAAAACCAAATATAGTCTTCATCTGCCTTAAGAAAGGTTTAGTGTCCAGAACTAAAGAGGCTGTAATCCAACTGTCTGCTGCCCTGGTCAGACCATAATAGAAGTATTACTCAGTTCTGGGCACTGTATTTTAGTAAGAGGTAGTGAATATGGTGCTAGATTAAATCTTACCTTGAGTATTTAATAGTTGTGTGACCATGGACAAGACACCTAAACTTCTCTGATTCTCAATTTCTTCACAGGAATATCTGTGGTACCCACATCACAGGGTTGTTACCAGGTGCAAACTTAAAAAGTACCACATACATTTCCGTTATTGTTAATGTAATTATTAGCTGGAGAGTTTGCAGAGAAAGGCATCCAAGATCATGCCATATGTGGTTTAGTGGAAAGAACTGTAGTTATTTATCTAGGAGCTGAGAAGACTCAGGGAGGGTCATGTTAGATGCTATCCCTGGCTGTTATTAGCCCTGGTACTTGTCCCCATTGTCGCCTACCTCTTCACCACATACCATGAAGATCCTCAATCATAGATAAATGTAGAAAAACCTAACAGGATTCTGTATTATTGATTCCATGAGCTCTAGGGATTATTTCCCAGTACTAATGCAGTCTGATTCCAGCTTCTCAACACTAGAAATTTTATTTGTTGTCTCACCTCTACTAACTACTGCATCACTCCTCCCCAAAAGTTACTCAGTCTGAGTTCATATCCAGCCTCAGACCAAATACTTGACACTTACTAGCTGTGTGACCCGGGGCAAGTCACTTAACCCCAATTGCCTTAAAAAAGAAAAGTTAGTCATAAGGTTTTTTGGGAGGCAACAAATCGCCTTTTGTAGTAGTTGGCTATCTTTTTATTGCCACTGCTATACTATGTTAGCATAGCTATTGCCCTTGTATCTGGGTGGAAGTTCAGTTCATGTAGGTGCTCTTCAGGTTCAGCATCTAGGTTTTGCTGTCCTTGTCCATGATCAATAAATATTCTTCTCCTATGATCTGGGTCTTCATGCAAAATGCTCTTCAGATTAAGGCACACTGTAAACCTTTCCCAATACCTAAGAATTTTGGTTTTATTTGAAACCTTTTTTTCTTTTTAAACCTTCAATTTTTGTTTAAATTACCTTTTCTTTTTTGTAACCTTAGATAAAGTGTTTAGCATACGTTGCTGCTTTGTTATTGTAGCTGTAATAGTGATTTAAATATTAATGTTAAGACCATAAATTAAGGTCAAGGCATACATTAAGGATCTTCCAGTTAATAACTGACTGGAGTTCAGAATGGCATGTCTTAATATCCCCCACAGGGATAAAATTTAGTTGTACTTAAAGAATTCATCGGATTACAGATTTAGAGCTTGGATAGAGCTTGGAAGTGACCTTAAAGGTCACCAAGTTCAATCCCTTCATTTTTACAGATGAGTTTAAATTACCTGTCTAAAGTCACTCAAGTATTCAAACCCAAGTCTCTTACTCTGAATCTAATGTTCTTTGCACTACAGCATGGTGCCTCCTTCATCAAATCAATATTACTTGATCATGAATCCTTATCAGGGGATAACTTTTCTAGAACTAAAAGCTACTTCACACGATGTTTTTAATAAGCCGATAATGTGACAGCATTGCTATATACTAGGAAGTGACAAAATAATTGCACTTGGTAGAGACTCTGATAAAAATTTATTGTGTTAAGAACATTTACAAAGACTGCCATTTCATACTTACCTAATTCACTGTCTTTTCTGTCTCAGGTTGGTACATGGTTCAGTAAAACACAAATTACAGTGGGACTGTCTTCCTGAAACTCTTCCATTTGATCCTCTTCTTATTACTTTAGCAGAGGTAAAGACTTTCTTTCTCCCCAATTATTATCAAACTTTCTGAAGCCATATTAATTGTTAGGTAATGAAATAGAGAATTTCCTGGAGCTTATTTAATGTTTTTGGTATTTAAATAAGAAACATTGATGTGAGAATACTACCTTTGATTCATTGCTGGAGGAGTAATTGTAAACTGTTTCATAAACTAAAAAAAGCTAATTTTCTGCATAGACAGGAATTTATTAAAGATGAAGAAAAACAATTTTTAAATAAAAAAAAATTTAACTAGATTTAAAAAAAATCCAAATATATAATCTTTGTACAGAAGAAAAATGCTTCAAGTATCTATACTATGAGAACTTTAAATGTAAGGAGACAAATTCTTGATCTGTTTAAAAAATACATTCAAAAAATACATTTAGTTTTGTTATAATGGGTCTTATAAGAAACTGCTATCCATTTAATTAATAAACATAAGTATTCTTTCATAACAACACATAGATATTTTTCATAATATTGAAATACATTGTTTTTGTAACTTTTTTTTTTTTGGAAGGGAGACTGTAATTGCATTTTAGTTAAAATTTGTATTACAAAAAAGCTGGTAGTATAAGAAGCACCAAGGGGAATCAGTAGTGTCTTCTGATGATGCCATCTGTAGGGGAGGAATTATTCTTATAATTTAGAAATAGATTTGCCTTCCAGGAAACTCTAACCTATTAGGCATTTGCTGTTTACATGGGTTTGGTATTATGAAAGGCAAATGGCACTGCAGAAATTACCCTGGCTTGCTCTTTGTTCAACAAGACAGTCCATCTCTCAATTTTTCAGCTTTTCACTTGGCTGTCCCCCATGCCTGGAATTCTTTGCTTCATCTCCTTAGTCCAGTCTCAACTCAAATCCAACAAAGGCAAGAGGCCTTTCCTGCCTCACCTGACCACTAGTGCCTTCCTCTTAGATATTATTTACTTCTCATCTACTCTGTTGTATATACCTTATAAGAAATACTTAATTATTTATATGTTGTCTCCTCCATTTGATTATGAGCTTCTTAAGATCAGGGTCAGTATTTTTGCCTTATTTTTTTTTTCTTATATCCCCATGTTTAGCACAGTGCCTGTTAATGTAGAGAGGACTGAATAAGTCCTTTCTAATTGATTGACTTATAATCAGAAGACCTGAGTTTGAGTCCCAGCTCTGTCATACTAATTGTGTGTCACTTTGGAGAAGTCACTTAACTTTCATGAACCTCAGTTTCCTGTTTTTTAAAATGAGAATGGTAATAGGCCACCTATATACTTTTGAGGCTTATTTATGAATAATAAAGCACTTTGTGAACTATAGAAAGTAAATGTGAGTTATTTTTTACATTTTAATAACCCTAGAGCAAATTATTAGGCTTGCTGCTTTCAGGAGATTGATATAAATAGGTAATAGTATAATCATAAAGATCACAGAGTTAATAATCTTATAAATTAAAAAATTAAAACAGGAGCTTTTCTTTTCCCATTAAAAAAAAATCTTGCCCTTCCTTTTATTGTAGTAATGGAAATAAATGGAAAGGTTTGAGGGGAGGATTTATTTATTTTGAACTAGACCTATGATTGATTTCATAAGTGTAGGAAGTTCCTGCTGAGAGAGATGCTCTACCAAATGAAAATCCTCTACCAGTGCAAATGAGTAGTTTCTCTGAAATTTATAGTCTTATAGAATTGCTTGCAGCACTGAAAGGTTAAGGAGCTTGCCCAGGGTCACATGGCCTGGGCCTTGGACTCTCGGATGAGCTCTATCCACTGTGCCATCTTGTGAAGAAAATAGACCTTGGGAAAATGCCTTCTCATCTTATATATTCTTAGTAAGTATTTCATCATTGTACTCATGAGTCAGGATACTAGTTTCTCTTTTTAATTTTCGGAGGGATTTGCATTTCCCATGAACCTGTGCAGCAGTCTTCATTTTTTTTTTCTCCTCTCACCAATTATTTTATGGGATCTCTTTTTTTGTAAACTGGAGCAGAGTACGCTGGATCAATTTGGTGTTAAAGTCTAATAAAAATGGTTGTAGTATAGTACTTTACAGGGATTTGTAGTATTTTACAGTGCTTTATATATATTTTACAGTGCTTATATATACAAAAACACTTTCCTCACAACAATCCTGTGAGTTGGTAAGTGTTAGTTATCCCTGTTTTAAAGATAAAGAAACTGTCAAAGGTTCAGTCCATGGTCACATAACTAGCTATTGTGTACAACAGGTGGGACTCAAAGTTAAGTCCTCTGACAAAAAGTACTCTTTCCACTACATATTGTTGCCTTTTTTAAAACTCAGAAATGTGAAAAGAAGTCATCTTTTAGAAAATTAAATTTAAATCCAGCTAATCTTGGAATAGGTTGGGGTGATTTCTTTTGTGGAGGTGTCCTTACACCCTCTCTTGCTGAGGGAATGTTGCACAGCTTTAGGCATGCATGGATACAACTATTTGGTAGCTTTCTGTTTACTTTGTAAGAAAAGTGTAATATTTAATAGGAAAAATAAAAATATCAGAAGGTCAGAATGGTAATGCTTCCTGTTTTTCCTTTTGGTCTCAGTTTTAATTGTAGTACTGATTGTTACTGAAATTGTACTTTCTGACTGGGAAGGCTTAATAATGAACGTAATCTTTCAGTTATTATGATGCTGCTTGATTTTTTTTTCTTAGTGTGACCAAACTTATATAAAATCACATTTTTGTGTGTTTAACAGGGTCTAAGAGAGACTAAACATCCATATACATTTGTATCAAAAGAAGGTTTTAAAGAATTACTTTTGGTTGAAGGTGCTGCTGAAAAAACTGTGCCCTTGCTACCTAGACTGGTTCCTGTCTTGAAGGCAGCTCTGGTATGGTTTTTTTTTCCTTATTTTTTTTTTTAATTTCAAAGACAGTGTAAAATCAAAAATCCCAGCAGGGATTATTTTTTAATATTTTAGCATAGTTGGTTTTCATCAAAATATATTTTGTGTAATTAATCTGCGCAAGAAAGACTGATCTGTCTTTGAACTTGGTATCTACTTGATGTTCTCAGAATTACAATCTGGTTTTGAAGGGCAGATATCTTTAGAGGAGGTACCAAGAGTAAACAATATTTTTAAATTAATCTTGTATTTACATTCAAATAATACACTAAATATTTTCATTGGAAAATATATTCAGTGCTTTTAATACAGTTGAGAATTTGCACTTGTTTCTGGATCTTGGGATAAGAATTATAGCTTTAAAGCTTGTATGTTTAGTTAGTAATTATCCTATAGTTAAAGATGTTGAATTTTATTTCATCATAACGCTTCCTTTCTTCTGTTCTCCCCCAAAAGACCCATTCAGATGGTGAAGTGTTTGGAAGGGGATTGAATGCTTTAGTACAGTTGAGTGGTGTAGTTGGGCCTTCGCTAAATGATCATCTGAAGCATTTGCTTACAAGTGTAAGTATCAAGAATATTTGTGCTGTTCTCTAATATTTTTAGCTTTTCCTCTTAATTTTTGAACTGGACTTGTGATTTCTGTAGTAATTTGATTGCTTAGCTTGCACTGAGGAAATGCCATTTAAGTTACTCGCCTCTACCACAATTGCCCAGCACTGAGAAGTTAAATGAATTTGCATTAGGGTCACAATCCAGTATAAATCAGAGGGGAGTGGATCCCAAGTTTTCTGTACTTGAGGCCAGCTGTGACAGGTTGTCTAATTTTAGATTCTAATCTGTACCTTTTAATATTATGCATTAGTGTAGTTTAGATTTCTATTAAAGTTAATTCTCAAGAGAAGACTTAAAATTACACTAAAAGAAATTGAATGCCCAGATGCTCTAAAATCTCACTGGTATTTTTTCCCCAATTAGCCTATTTTTAAGGGATGTATGTTAATGAAATTTGGAAAGTTTTCATATGGTTATGATTGAGTTTTTAGTCTCATTTTTGTCTTTGTCTCCCAGTGTCTTATGCATAATATGTTGCTTAGTGGATGAATATATGTTGTCATTTTTTTTTAAGCTTTCCAAAAGACTAATGGATAAGAAATTCAAAGAGTCAATCACTACTGCTTTACAAAAGCTAGAACAACATGGTGGAAGTGTGAGTAGAAAGTTATTCCTCCTTTCATTTATTTAGAAGTAACTGTAAGTTTAAATATTTTTTCTCACTTTAAGTTTTTTTTTTAATTTTAATCATTCAAGACCTGCCTTCTCAACCTCCTACCTCATCCCCTCACCTTCCATTGAGAACAAAAGAAAAATGAAACCTATTAGAAATATGTGTAGTCAGTCAAAGCAAACTTCCACATTATTCATGTCCAAAAAAATTTGTCTTACTGTGAATTCATTTTTCTGTCAGAAGGTGGGTAGCATATATCATCATTTGTCCTCTGGAATCCTGGTTTTTCATCGTGCTGATGAGAGTTCAGCACAGTAGTATTCTGTCACATTTCTGTGCCATACCTTGTTCCGAACCATTTCCCAATTTATGAATAGCCCCTCAAATTCCCATGCTTTTCCACCTCAAAAAGAGCTGTGTAAATATTTTTGTACGTGCTTACATTTTGTTTTGCTTAGGACTAATCCCTCCTGTAATCTGCTGTCCTAATTTCCCTCTGATTTCCCTGTTGCATGAAATGTATTTCTATACTTAACTCTTTGTGTTCTTAATATTATCAAGACATAACCACTCTTAGGCCTCGTCTAATTGGAATTCTCTCTGTGAATTCTCATAATGATAGGGGTGTCAGAAGGGAACACAGGTATCATCTCCCCATTTTTAAATGTAAGCAGTTTTTAATCTTTGTTTAGTTTTTTGTCATTGTTCATTTATGTTTGCCTTTATGTTTTGCTTCATTCTTGTGTTTGAACTTCAAAGCTTCTCCACAGTTATGGTCTTTTTATCATCAAGAATGGTCTCTGTTTCATTAAAGGTCCCCTTTTTCTTCTCTAGCCTTATACTCATTTTGTTTGGTAAGTTATTCTTGACTGTAAAACTCATATCCTTTACCTTCTAGAATATTATGTTTCAAGTTCTTCATGTCTTTGTGGTGGTGGCTGCTAAATCGTGGATCATCCTGACTATGTCTCCTTAGTACTTGAATTCTTGCTGCTTGCAGAATTTTTCTCTGACCTAGGAACTCTGAATTTTGATTGTGAAGTTCCTAGGAGTTTTCATTTAGGGGTTTCTTTCAGGAGGTCACTGGTGGATTCTTTCTATTTCCACTTTGCTCTCTGGTTCTAAGAGATCAAAGATTTCTTGAAATATGCTATATAGACTTTTTCTTTTTTTTTTTTGTCATGGCATTGATAGTCAAGTGATTCTTAATTTTTCTCCTTGATCAGTTTTACAGGTCAGTTGTTAATACTTTTTTTTTGTGACTTTTTTCAGCCTTTTGACTTTGTTTAAATATTTCTTACTGCTTCTTGGAGGCATTGCTTGTAGATGTTTTGGAGTCACTTCTGCATTTGTGTCTTAAGCATCCCTGCTGTCACAATAGTTCATAATGATGCAGTTTTTTATTTATTCATTCTTCCAGCATGCTTCCTGACTTCGGACTTGATGTTAGGGTTGGGCTCTGTGGCACTTCTAGAGGGAAAATCTGGCCTGATTCTCTTGTGGCTTTCTTGGGGTCTTGAGTATTGTGTTATTTCATGACCTCTGCTAATCCAGATAGGCATCTTTCTGCTACTTCTAATGTTTGGAAGTTTCCTAGACCACTGCAAGGTTAAGTGACTCTGCTAGGTTGTACAGTCAGTAGGTGTTATAGAGGTGGGTCTTGAACCTGGGTCTTTGTGAATTAAAGGCCAACTCTATCCACCGTGCTTTGTTGTCCTTTTCAGTACTTCTCAAGTACAAATTCCTTGCGGGGATAACTTTTAATTGTGTTTTCTACTCAGTAGAGCATAATCTGTGTACATAATAGTATAGAATGAAGAAATAAATTTATCTATTCTCTATCACTATTTCTAAGACTTATAAGATAAATGTACCTGTTCTTTCCTTTTTTCCCCTCAAATGAGATAGAGGAATTTTCAGAAATACTCTTCACAGTATTCCATTGAGGAGATTTGAAAGTCCATATCAGAAGTGTTGGGTGCTCTCTTTGAAACAGTACTCAGAGAATTGGTCATTTTGAGTCGCCTTTAGAAGTCAGTTAAGAATACAATTACCTTTTTCCATGCCTTAAAAAATAGTTATAAAAGAGTTTAAGTTTGAATAAATTTCACTGCCTCAGCATCATATGGACCTAACTTTGAATTCTTGAGATCTGTGCCATTGTACTGCAAGCTTTTAGCAGGTCCTCTTAAGTTGCAGTGGTTTTTTTTTTTTTAAAAAGGAACAAAAAGGCACATCACCAAAAGATTGGACACCAGATGCTGATTTTTTTTTTTTTAATTTTTCATCACAATCATTCAAGTGAATATTCATGAGGTTGGTCGTGATCAGTATTGGTGGATGAGCACCCACATCATTGGAATCATGAATTTTTTGAAGATTAAAGTTTTTTTTTTAATGAGTTAAATATATATATATATATATATATATATATATATATATATACACACATATGTAATCTTCCATATGCTATAATTTAGCTACCCAGAGATTTCTCACTCACATGTCCTTGAAGATAGGCATTAATTATTTCATTTAACTGCTCCAGTCCACAGGGTCATGAAGAATCAGACACAATTGAATGACTGAACAATTACCATCTTAGGTAGCCCCAAATTTCATTTAGGAAGGCCATCCTAATTAATACTGAGTGTTAGGTCTTCTCTCACTTACCCTAATTCCAAGTTTTCAAGAATAAACATTGAAAGAACGACCTGCTTTGATAAGATTTGTTGTTCAGTGTTTTTGAGAGTTGATCGCTAATACTACACATAATAGTCTGTTCTTTTTTTAAAAAATGATCTTATTTTTCATTTCCATTTTTAAATGAGCTTTTGGTAAATTCTGTTAAGTCTTAGAAAAGTATTATATGTAGAATCAATCTGTCCCACTGAGTACTACAACATACTAATGATGCTAAATCTTTTCTACCAACAGGGCAGCCTGATGATTATCAAAGCTAAAATTCCAACCTATTGTTCCATCTGCTCTTAAACCAGAGGAATGATAAAGCCATTTGACTAAGTGGTGAGAGATGTCAGAAGCTTATGATGAACATTGTAGGATCCCTTTTGAACATGTTTCTTTTTTTTTTATCACAGCTACTGATTTGTTATTTATGTGATAAAAATTAATACACAAAGTTGATTCCACTGAATCATAGTAAATAAGCATTTATCAGCATGGGAAAATGTTTAATTATGGAAAACTGTTGAAAGGACTTCTATAGTGCAATTTTGTGGGGTTTGTCAATTTTTTTTCTTACTACATTTGGTCTGTATTAAGGACCACAGTTTTGTTTACAGTTTAAGCTCTGATATTTATATTTTAATGCCTTTTAGTTATAGTATCACTTAAGTGATTGCATTAATTTTTCTTAATTACTGTCATATTTTGTAGGGTTTTTAGACCTATCATAGAAATTAGTAAGAATGGTCAAACTGTTTAGTAACTCACTGATAAATTATTGCTTATGAACAGGTTTTTTTATGATGTGCAATGCTTGGTAAAAACATCCAGAACATTTCAAAATATGAATTTTTCAATAGTGTAAAATTCTGTTGTGTTAAAACATATAAATTATTATTTTACTATAACTTGCTAAAACTATACATGAGTTTAGATGTGTAATATATAAGTAAATGTTATTTTTTATATTTTCTAAAAGAAAGGTGACTTGCAAATTGGGATATTTAAGAATTCAACTCTTGAAATTCCAAATTGTATTCACAAAATTTTTAGTGTTAACTTATTAACCCTTTTCCCCTTAAAAATACATAATAAATATGTTGTAGTTCTCACTCTTTTTTTACCTTATGATTTCCTACATTACCTAGAAGAGTTCTTCACATTAGGCCAGAGGTGGTGAGAAAAGATTAAGGCAGCTCAGCCTTATTCCAGAAAGAAAATATTCCAGTTATTTTTTTGGCCAAAGCTGCTGCTAGACAGTCAGCCAAGAAAGCAGCTGCACTGAGGATACACAGAAGGGTAAGGGATCGTCTTGCTCTTGAGGTCATAGGCTAATGGAGAGACACCATGCAAACAGCTGGGTAGGTACAAACTATATAAAGGATAAATTTGAAATAATTAGCAAAAGGCACCCTTTAGAAGGTGGAATTTTAGTTGGAACTTGAAGGAAGGCAGGAAGAGGAGAGAGCTTTCTAGACATGGAGAGCAGCAAGGAGACAAGTATTTGCTTGTGAAGTTTGCTGAGTGAAGGATGGGCTCAAGTGGGGAGACATCTTGTGACAGAAACCAACCAACAGGTTTATTCCAGTAGTCTAGTTGTGATGGGAGCCTGGAGCAGAGTGGTAGCAGTATCAGAGGATAGAAGGAGGCATATATGAGAGCTATTACAAAGGTAAAATCAGTAGGCCTTGACAGCAGTTGGATATTGGGCAGGGGGAGTGAAATAGTGAATATAACAATTTGCAAACTAGGGTGACTCATAGGATGCTAGTGATGATAGTGCCCTTGCCAGTAATAAAAAATCTTTTGGGAGAAGATAATAAGGAGTTCACCAGGTGACATAGAGAAGAGAGGACCCAGGACAGAGCCCTGTGGGATACCCATGATTAGTAGGTTTGACCTGGGTGAAGATCCGGCAAAGCAGATGAGGGGTCACATAAGTGGAAGGAGAATGAAGAAAGATGAGGATTGAGGAAAAAGCCATTGGATTTGGCATATAAGGGATTAGTAGTAACTTTAGAGAGTAGTTTTGGTTGAATAATGAAGTTGGAAGCCAGACTGTAGAGAGTGAACAGTGAGAGGAAGTGGACATACTGATTGATTGGAAACTTCCTTCTTAAGGAAGTCAGCTTTAAAAGGAATGAGAGATACAGGATGATAACTAACAGGGACAGATCAAGTATTTGAGAATGGGGGGATGAGCATGTCTGTAAGCAATAGGAAAGAAAGCAGAGGGAGAATCAAGAGTGGGAATGATAGAGGGGTGCAATCATCTGGAGTATTAATCACTCACTCTGCCAGGTAGAATGCTAATGGCTGGAAAATAAAGAAAGGCAAACATAATAATCCCTGTTTTAAAGAACTCAAGATTTTAGAGGCAGCTAGGTGGCATTATGGGTAGAACACTAGGCCTGTAGTTAGGAAGATCCAGCCTCAGTTACTTACTAGCTATATGACCTTGAGCAATTAGCCTCTGCTTGAAGAGGATGATAATCAATCAATCACACCTACCTCTCATGGTGGTTGTGAGGGTCAAATGAGGTAATATTTGTAAAGTGCTTAGCCTAGTATCTGGCATATGGGCCCATATTGTAATGGGTGGTATATGCACCTAGAAGTTATATACAGGGTAGATGGGAGGTAATCTCAGGAAGTCAGTTGTTGGGGTGAGGAAGGAGTGTCTGTATTGGTCAAGTTCCTGCAAAAAGTAGGGCTTGAGCAGACTCTTTTGAAGGAAACCAGGGAATCCAATGGGCAGAGGTGAGGAAGAAGGGCATTGTAGGTATGGTGACATTGAAGACAGACATTGAAAAGATATGGAGTTGTGTGTGAGGAACAGCAAGAATGCTGATGTTGCTGGATCATACAGTATGTGGAGGACAGTAAAGTATAAGAAGAATGGAAAACATATAGAGGGGCATAGTTTTAAAGACTTTAAATGCCAAACAGCATTTTATATTTGATCCTGGAAGTTAATAGTCAGTGTAGTTTATTGAGTAACAGCGACATGATCTGCCTTGTGCTTTAGGAAGAACATTTTGGCAGTTGAGTAGAGGATGGAATGGAGTGGGGAAAGACTTGAGAGAGACAGAGGCTAACTGGAAGGCTATTGCAGTAGTCCAGATGTGCACCAGAGTTAAGGCTTTTTAGAGAGAAGGGTATAAATAAGAGATGTTACAAAGGTGGAAATGAAGGAATGAGACAGGAATAGAGGATAACACTAACTGAAAGATTAATATATATTTAAACACAAAAATACTGAAATGGAGGAAATCTGACAATGGAGAAGCCGAAGAAAACAATGTTAAAAGTACACATGAACTTTATAACAGCCAAAGCAAGTCACCTTAATAACAGGATGCACATAGATAACTTACAGACACTTGGTCTCCCAGAAAAACGTGGTAAATCAAAAAACCTGAACACCACAAAGCAGGGGGTGGAAAGCTACCTGGTATACTTTTGAATATAGAAGACAACATCAATCAGAAGATGCTAAGTCAAAAGAAGTTTGCCTTCTAAGGCAGTGACTGCCACCACCAGCACCACCCTTATTCTTCAAACTCCAAAAAACAGTGGTTAAATTTAACAATTTCAAAGGCAAAGAAAAACAATTGTCTAGGCAACCAAGGGAAAGACCTTCAAACATAAAGGAGAAGAATTTAATGTAACAAGATTTTTCCTCTTAAGATTAGAAATTGCAGGAGAGAATAAAATAGCAAATTTTGGGGAAAAAATTCAAGCCACCACCCCAGAATAACAATGGCGGACCCTACAAAATTAAGCTTAATCATTAACAACACCAAGAAGTGATACTCAAAGGGCATTTCTGCACAGAAAAATACTGAGCAAAATATTTGACATGAAAAGACACCAGACAATAGAAATAAAAGTAAATAAATACAATTGCCAAGGAATCAATAATAAATTTAATTGCTCTTTGTTTAGAGGTGGTTTTTTTTTTATTCTCCCATATGGAATTAAGAAGAAATCAAAGAATTAAAAAAAAAAAGGATTAAGATGTAGAACTGAAGAAAGAACCGGTATTGGTGCACCATGGACAAATACCATGAACACCCCCCTCTCCGCCATCCACACATGAAACTTATGTGGGACAGAATTGTTGGACAGTGCATATAGGGATAAGGAAGGTAGGGGACAGAGGGCAAAACTCCTTCCAAAGTCCGAACAACCAAGGGATGGTGATTCCTATAGTCAGGTGGGTAGTCACCTTGACTCGAATGGCTTTATCAGCAGAAAAGGGACATTGTATCTGGGTGATTGAATTGGGTGGGGGACAGGAAGGGATCCTACTGAAAGGTACTCCCTTGATGGAAGAGGTGAGAGGCTGTGTGTGTGTGCATATGTGTGATGGAAACCACATGATGGGTTAAATCTAAAAGGAATTGGTGCCTTGGGAGGCTATCTTCTCTGGGAGTGTTGTACTATGCACAGTATTCTGACACAGAAAAAGGTTAATCTATACTCTTTGGGGCAGCTGGGTCCCACACATGGCAACATCAAGCCAGAGAGATGGTAGCGTAGCACTAGGGGAAGGTAAAATAAAGGGAAGACAGGGAATAGCAGGGGACCACACTATTTGGGATATCATGATTTCTACCATGTGGCACTGGTTCAGCACAACACTACTTACTTCTCAGAAAATACAGTTTCAAAATAGCCAAGAAGGGAACAGAACAAAGAAAAACTAAAGAAAAGCACAAGTTGAAGTTTTTGAGCTAACCACTTAACAAAGAAAAGAGTAAAGAGGGTAAGAGCTAGGTAAGTCCATAACAAATAAAAGTCCCAGATCGAGAAACAGTAGGTAAATGGTATTGGAATTAGGGAGAAGAACCCCAGGGAATAGAATTATATCAAGTAGTCTAGGAAAACTATTCAGTGGAGCAACATATGATGACCTTAAAGAAGGAATAGAATAATTTAAGGTTTGCAAAGCTCTTTATCATGTGATTCTGACAACAGCCCTGTGAGGTGGATGCTATTAACTGTTTTGTAGGAAGGAAACCAGCTGAAAGGTTAAATAACTTGTACTTTGTTTATGGAAGAATTTTAACACAGCTTCCTGACTCTGAGTTCAGCACTCTACCCACTAACCACCTCACTCCCTCAGTATTGAAAATTAACAAAAAAAAAAAAAAGGTAACAAGAAAATGGAGGAAAATAAACTTAAGTCATAGCTTTAATTGTAAATGAACTAAACAATTCAAGAATATCAAAGTGATAAAATGGAAAAGAGAACAAAACCTCAATTTGTTTTTTAGATGAAAACAAAATCAAATGAAAGAGTAATTACTATGTATCAAGTAAACCCCCAAAAAGCAGAAGTTGCAATTGTATTAGCAAAAATAAAAATATCGGTCTAGATAAACAAGGAAATTATCCCTAAAGGAACCATAAATAAGCTATTACAATATTAAATACATGCTCCAAATGGCTACATAAAGGAAAAGTTAACAGAATTGCAAAAAGGCATGGTAATAATAATACTCCTTTCTCAGAACTAGACATACCTTACAAACAAAACAAGAAAAATATAGAACTAGACAAAGTGTCATAGAGTTAGGGCTAAAAGATGTATGGTGTTTTCTGAATGGGAACATTGAAGAATATAGATTCTTAGCATCACATGACAACTCTCTGAAAATTAACCCTATACCAACGCCGAGAGAAATAATATAAAAGGCAGAACTATATGCTTGTATTTCACATAATACAATAAAAACTAATAAATATGGGGAATCAACATCTCTCTCTTACTGGTTCCTTCTCTCCTGCCTTTAAACATACCCAAATCTCTAATTTTATTAACAACAAACCTTTAGTTGTTCCTGCATCTCTTTTCCCTTTCTCAGTGAAACTCCTACAAAAAGCTATATCCCCTAGAATAACATCTAAGAGTCTAGATTTTTAAAGAACCAAACTATGTTTCCTTGCTCCATTCTATCTTTCAAACTTTGTAATTTATGCTCCATCCTTCATTCTACAATCTAGTCTCCTCTTCAAAAAGGACACTCCATTTTCTGTCTCTGGTTTTGCACTGGCTGTCACTT